TGGCACATGCAAGCACGCCATGGCACATGCAATCATGCTGCAGTACGTGCAAGGGCAGCACAGTGCCCACAAGCACGCCGTGGCACATGCCATCATGCCATGCTGTGGCACATGTAAGGGCACCCCGGGGCCTGCAAGGGCACTACAGGGGCCGCAAGCATGCCGTGGTGAAAGCAAGCACAGCATGGTGCATGCATGGGCACCACAGGGCYGGCAAGCTCGCTGCGGTGCACCAAGCACGCTGTCGGGCAAGCAAGCACAACGCGGTGCATGCAAGGGCCCCATAGGGCATCCTGCACGCCGCGGCGCCTGCTAACATGCCACGGGGCATGCAAGTACGTTGTGATGCATGCAGGAACACTGAGGAACTGGCAAACGCGCCATGGTGCCCGCAAGCACACCATGGGGCATGCAAGCACGCCATGGTACGYGGAAACACATCATGGTGCATGCAAACACATCATGGGACACACAAGCACGTCATGGGATACGTAAGGACGTTGCGGACCTGGCGAGCACATCATGGCACATGCAAGCACATCATCGTACATGCAAACACATCACRGTGCACGCAAGCACGCCATGGGACACGCAAGCACATCATGGTACATGCAAACACGCTGCGGTCCCGGCATGCGCGTCACGGTACACGCAAGCGCGTCACGGAACCGGCCAAGACGCCCTGGCGCGCGCCAGCTCGCCACGGCACAGCCCGGCACACACGTCGTGGCACCGGTGCMGACCCCGCGGCAGCGGCGCGCGCGTCGTGGCACTGACCGGCACTGACCCGCCGGCCCCCGCAGCGCACGCGTGGCACACGCAGGAGCACGGGGCGCCCAACGCGGCCCCCGGGGCGCGGGACGAGGGSAGGAGGAGGAGCTGGGAGGAAGGCAGCCGGAGCCCAAGTCCTGGGCGCAGTGTGAGCGAGCRGGCACAGCTGGTGACCCAGTGCCGCGAGTCCCGGACGCCTGGGCCCCTTTCCCGGCGCAGCCCCAGCGCCGGGACGCGCTCCACAGCGAGGGGGGGCCGCGTTGCCCAAGCGGGGGCCCCTGCGCGGCGTCACCTGCGCCCGGCGCCCACCTGCCGCCGCCACCACATCTGAGGCGCGGGGTCCCGCGCGCCCGCGGCGCCGCAGCTGCGCCGGGGCGGCCGCGGCTCCCGGGGGCTCCCGGGGCTCCGCGCACACGCACGTGTGCAGGGTGCCCCCCCGGCGCCGTCACGCGCCCTCCCCGTGGGCGCGCTGCAGCGCGCTTGCAATGCCCCCCCTCCAGAACGCGCGGCCCCGGGGCACCCACCTGCACCCGTCTGCACCGCGACGCGGGCGCTCGGCGCCCTCCGCGGCAGAGGGACCCAGGCGTCCGGGCTGCCCCCGCCCCGCAGCGTGCACACGCGTGYGTGCGTGTCCCCGAGCGTGTGCACGCTCACAAGGAGCACCCGCGCGGCCCATGGGCGCCCAGGCGTGTCCGCCRCACCCGCGGTGGTGCCCGCGGCACACGCCGGCTTGCACGAGCACCCGGCTGCGTCCCCAAGCACCTGGACAGTCTCCCGCGTGTCCGTGCACCCATCCCATTCCAGGACACCCGCACACACTCACACGCTTGCGTGCACCCTCTCACACCCTTGCATGCAAAACTGCTTGTTTGCACATGCTCCAACACACTTGCACAAGGACAAGCTTGCACGCTCTGGCCCACACGCTCTCACACGCTTGCTCAAGCGCACGCCGCTCCCGCGAGTGTGCACAAGTGCACRGACACTGGCACAAGGAGAGCCCCGCTCGCACACGCTTGCACACACGCATGCTGGGACACTCACACGCTCGCACGTGCACGTGCTTGCAGATGCACGCGCTTGCACGAGCACTCGCACACACTCTTACACATACACACTTGCAGATGCACACGCTTGCACGAGCACTTGCACACGCCTGCAGATGCACACGCTTGCACGAGCACTTGCACACGCCTGCAGCTGCACGTGCTTGCACGAGCACTCACACACGCTCTTACACATACACACTTGCAGATGCACACGCTTGCACGAGCACTTGCACACGCCTGCAGCTGCACACGCTTGCACGAGCACTCGCACACGCTCTCACACGCACACCCGTGCTGATGCACAAGTTCGCACGAGCGCTCGCACACGCATGCAGACGCACACGCTCACGCCCGCGAGCTCCCGTGCACGCGGCGCTGCCTGCTCGCACTGGCACTCGCACACTCGCGCCCCGGCACGGAGCCCGGCCCCGCGCCCGCCCGCGCCCCCGGCCCTACCTCGCATGGTGGCGGCGCCGGCGCCCGCGGCCCCGCGCTATAAGGGCGCGCGGCCCCCCCTGCATCCTGCCCCCCCCGGCCCCACGCACTGGAAATTTCCGACTTTCCACGGGGCGGGCGGCCCTGCCGGGGAGGGGGGAGCGAGGCCCGGGGGGGCGAGGAGGGGACCCAGGCGTCCGGGTGCCCCCCCCCCCACGGTGAACCCGGTGACCCCGGCGCGCGGGGCAGGGACCCAGGCG